AATATCGTGTATCCTACTCATGTTTAAGTAATAAATGGTTCAAAATAGCCTAAAAATAGTATAACATTTAATGTAGTCCACGGTACTCACATAACATCCAGTGATTTAGCCCTAGTGTATACAGCCAACGAGATTTCTCTTAAAGAGTCAGATTAAGATGATTTTCTTTAACAAAACATGTCAGATAGTCCACGCGGGGCTGCCATCTTGAAAAGCATCGATCTGATCCAGTACTGATATACAGCCTGGACCAGTACTGACGAACAGACATTACTGTATCAGCTATGACTACATCGGGACTGAAATAGATACTGGTCCAGGCCAGAGCAACAGCCTCGATTCAGCAGTGATGGCCGTCGATGCTGGACCGTTATAGAATCAAACCTGGTCCAGGCCTGATACCCATCATTCACGGATCATGCATGGTAACTCTTGGGTGTGTAGGTGTGGCTGTTACTAGGCTGTAGGTGGGCTTAGGCCTAGGCTTAGCTTGCAAAATAGCGGATCTACTACACCTCTTTCCCCTTGTCTCTTGCTCTCAGTCCTAGGATACTGTTTGTTTCGTTTTAGTCATGGCTGGTATATTTAAAGATGACGCCAAGCTACACAAGCTTTGTCATGATGGAAAAATAGAAAGGATAAAGGTAGGCGAGCCTCACCTTGTTTCTTTCCAGGCTGCAAGACCGGCCTTCTCCTTATGTGCATGAAATCGTTAATCATTTCTTTCTTGTAGGATTTTGTTGCCACTGTAGAACCTGAAATTCTTCTCGATCGACTCAACAATCGAAGAGGTGTTTTTGGCTACACCCCTCTTCATGAAGCTGTCTCCGGCAACAGATCCAAAGTCATTCCGTATCTTGTTGAACTAGGTGCTAATGTTAATGCCAGGGCTAATTCTGGCTACACCCCACTTCACCTTGCAGCCAGAGCTGGTCACATTAAGTGTGTCAAAGTATTGCTAGATAGCGCTGCTGATATCAGTCTTACTGATGACTATGGTAAAACTCCAAAACAGACAGCCGGCCTGAGTTCAAAGTCAAATATAGTCCGACTTTTAAGGAGTGAAGGTAAGCTTAAGAGGCTAATCCAATTTATATGTAATTTGTACCTTTATTTTTTTTTCCTGTAATCAGCCCTGTGCTAACATGGCTTTGTTTTATATTGGATTTAGTAGCATGCATTTCAATTTGAATGCTTTTTAAAATATATGAGGAGTGGTGACTTTATTTGTGCCTGTGTATTAGTCTGGCCCCGCCTCTTCGTTGCATGGGGGTGGCGCAGAAGAGTCTGGGCACTAAGCACAGGATTGAGCGTCCCAATCAGATTGCTGTACTCACGTGGAAGTAACTTTGTCACGTGACCAATTAAAAACGGCTGCAAGTATGACTGACAAACCTGCTGTAGATACGATAAATGCTAGCAAAGGAACAGAAAGGAACTGTAGAGGAGGTAACAGAAGAATAAGAAGAGTTCTCGTGTTAAACTTTGCTGAAAATTTTGCGGATTTTTTGTTTTCACTCCCGCATATATTGTCCTTGAATTAACTAGAACTTTGATAGATTTCTTCTTGCCTTTTATTACTGCCGGTCTCCACATTCAAGGAGGCTTACTTGTCAAGAAAAGCCTCAAAAAGAAAGTTATCATGTGACAGAATGTTTTAAAACTACTAATTATTGCATTCCTTTCTGCAACAAATTCTGTAGCAGTGTCACCAGACTCTTCTGCACCACCCCCATGCAATGATGAAGAGGTGGGACCAGACTACCTGTGTATGTGTGTGTGTGTGTGTGTGTGTGTGTGCATGTGTTCACTTGACTTCCTTTTATGAGCTTTTCTTGTTGAGTTCTTAGAGTCTTAATTATAATCCTCATTGCCTCATGCAGTCTCAAAAAA